CTAACCACAGATGTCACATGTGCTCTGCAATTCCGCTTGCCTACAAACAACACGTCGATCTTCCATGGCGGTTGTAACCCTTGGGCGACCGGCTACGGGGCTTCTGTCTGTGTGGTTTGGAATTGTTTCCATAAACGTGAAATTGCAGAATGATGAACACTGAAGAAAAGAGCAACATCTGTGATCGACTGTCCTGCTTCAATGAGCCCCACAGCACGCCAGCTCTCAGAATCTTCTATTCGTCTTCTGGAAGTCACAGAAACACATATGTCTTGAAAACAAATTGTACGAAAGTTTTAAACACCTTCTATCAGCACTTACAATTAACTTCTGTAACCCAATAACCAATAATGAATTACTGCTGGTTTATCGCGTGAAGCGCTACGTTACCCATAATGCTGGCTTCTTATAAGACTGCCTTTTTTGCATATTTCTTGACATGAAAGTGTGATTGGCTGTTACCTAATGTATTTTCATACTTCCATCTACCTCTGCAGCGAATTGCATCCTCTTCAATTCTGATTGGCTTCCGGAAATTAGTATTTTCCTCTCCGTGCTTAGCTTTTGGAAGTGAGTGTATATATATATATATATATATTCATTAATTTCTTTTAACCCAGTTTGCTTATCAGCAAGTCAAAAAAAAAAATGTTCTTCTACCATATTTTTATATCATATGCCCTTTTTTAATTTCAGGTTATTTTTCTGGCAGCTTTTAATTTAACAATATCCGTTGTCATACACAAACCTGTTTGTGCACAAATGTTGGGTGCCATTATTTCCAATTGAAAATCGGTGCACAATTAAAAACCAAAGAACATAGGCATCAGGTTTCAAGGTTTATTCAATTCCATCAAGCATTTTACTCGCATTGACACGTCCAAAAACAAAAATATATGTCATAAAGCATTCATATCCTTTATAGGCAATTAAAATATATTTTCTGACAAAACATTTCTTAAAAATATATTTTACATCAGAATCAAATTACAAGTAGTTCTATAATCTGAACCATACATTATTAAACATACATTAAGTAATATGTACATTCAGTAATACATACATTAAGTAAATTAAAGTCAGTTCAGAGTTCCTTAGAAATGCTGTAACCACACAGCTTGAAAACTTCTCAGTTTCCTCACAAAAAGCTCCTGGTTTTTTACATTTCAAGGTAGGCAGCTGACCCATAGGAGTGAAGATTATATTATTTCGCAAAATTTTAGCAGTTTCAAGAGAGAATTAAACTATTTTCCTGTGTATTTTCAATAAAAATATCACCCAAAGAGGCCTGGATGTAAAAGAAATGGAAAGGCATAGTCAGAATTAAAATAAAAATATAAAATAAAACTGAAATAATGAAATGACATACAATGAAAATGATAAGCTAGTCCAAAAACATTTTTCTGTGTTCTTTAATAATCTTAGTTGTTCTGCACAGTGTCTCTTTACATTCTGTGCTCTGAGCAGTCATTCTGCCTCACCCCCATCAAAAATCCACTACTGCATGATACATGGTGTTATTATTTGGAAAGACATATTCTGTGATACATTTTCTTTTTTAATAACTCTTCTCAATAGTTTAAGGCCCAATAATATTTTGTCAACATCATATACAATCTTGGTTTATCAATATTGTAAGATCTCCTGAAATAATCTTTCAGTGAAATTGCTAACTACATGTAACTAAAATGTTACCAGAAATTGTCTTTATAATATTACAATATTCTGTTGGTTCTGGCACGTTTAGGGACTTTCCTAGTCACACATAGAGAATGTCAAAGTACCAATTGCAGCATCACATAATTTGCCTTACATGTGGAGAAATTACAAGTGATTTCCTGGAATAGTTTTTATCATTTTTTTTTTTTTTTTTTTTTTATCGCATGCCATGCTTAGTACCCTCTTTTTTTATTACTGTAAAAACTACTGTAGATCTGGCTGACGTAGGATTGGTTCTCAGCTTGAATTTGCTAAATTGGCAACTTGGTACCAATCCAATATTAATTACTTCTTATTATTGCTCGATTACTCTTTTTGTCATGCTATTACAGTATTTTGAAATGAATATATATATTTTGTAACAGAGATTGTTGTCTGCATTTATATTTTCATATTCAGAAAAATATAATATTAATTTTGAAATTTTAATACCCGTTCTCATTAAAAAGGGAAAGAAGTGATGGTTTTTGAAAACATTTTAAATTGTTTTTGATGAAATGAAGAGAAATTTCATGTTTCTAGAAATTGTCATGAATGGCATTGCAATAAAATTAAAATGCTATGTCATTCATGTAAAACAGCGTTTCTCAAGGTGTGGTTCTCAAAATCTACCTTTCTGGCCTGTCTAAATTTGCAAAAATGTTCTGTTGTTTGTGAACAAAATTAGTAAAGTTTTGATGATGTGGCTAAATACACTGTCATTCTGCAAGGTAATTCTTTGTTATCATTTGCCTATGAGAAATTCAAGGGGTTTGAGAAAGTTTCGTTTGTGGGTTAGCTGTGTAAAACAGAGACATTTTTATCAATTTCTGAACTTATAATATTTTTGTAGTGGAAAATTGTATTGCTATTGGAAAAAGAATTATTCGGTGACATATGTTCATACCTCAAAACCCTGAAGTCACAGTTTGAAATTTAACTTTCCAGATGGTAAACATAATGAATTTTCATGTGTTCTTGATCCTATCAATTGCAATATTGAAAATAAGAACCTGTCATTAAATGAAGAATAACTGTTAATTGAACTCTGTAATGATACCAGACTTAAAAGGAAATTCCAAGCAGAAGATATGGTTAATTTCTGGACCTCATTACCAGTGAAAACAGAATTTAGTGAACTGTACAGAGGTGTTGTAAAAATTATAATACAGTTTGCTTATACCTACCTGCAAAAAAGAGTTTTCATGGCTAAATGAAATAAAAACAAACAGCTAGAATTGATTTGATGTCTCTGCCAGTCTCAGATTTAAGCTTACTGGCATACATCCAAACATAGAACAAGCATGCAAGAACCTGCAGGCTCATCTATGTCATTAATATGAGTGCCAAAATTTATTTAATTTTAAGTTGATATGATAAATATTATTCAAACCTGAATAGCCTTGATTTATTACAAATAAATACAGCATCATTTATATTAACTTGATTGATTAGCAACAATATAAAATTAAATGAATTTTAATTTATTCTATTTTTAAAATATAAGTATACTGGTGGTAATATAGGATAATAAATTACTTTTGAAAAGGACAAGAGTAAGGTGTCTACAGAGCATTTTAATTTATAAAAGTGGTCCCCAATTGAAAAAGGTTTGAGAAATGTTGATGTTGTGCCTCAAAGTATTGCTTATCTGTTGTGTACTTTTCCTTTCTATATAGTGTTGTAGAAATCATTATTCTCTTCTGGAATAGTGTAAACATTTTGAAATATCTGATTCCATTGTTACTGAGGAGAATTTTATTGTGGTAAATTAAATGAACCAGGAGAGAGAATATGAAAAAATTGCTTTTTTATCTAGCTAAAGAAAGTTGTTTTTATGAAGCCTAAAAAACAAAAGCAATGTTTTTATGAGTATTGTTAATAATAAAATGTGTCCCATACAATAAGATAAATCTTATGTCCCCGTACCATTTTGAGTATTTCTTCCATAGTAGTCAAGAGATATGCACTTTCTGAAAATTTTGTTCATTATTTTTAAAATTTTGTGCCATAAGAATATTTTCTAAAGAGTTCTGAGCTTTCAGTTGACAATCTTTAAAATTAACAAAATCAGAACATTGTGAATGTTATTTCCTTTCCTGTAAAGTTTGAGTTTCTGGAATCTATTGTTCTTCCTGTTGAGGCTAGTCTTTTGAAACTCATTTTTTATGGTTTATAAATTTTGTCACAAGCGTGTGGTTTCAATAATACACTTTCTGGAAGAATTTGATATATTCTGTTTTAACACACTGTGGACAAATCATGAGTTTACTCATATTTAAGGGTGGTTTACATGATAATTCATGTTTTCTACATTCTGTCTTGGATGCCTCCTGCAATGATATATTGTGTCTACTTTACCTATTGAGGTCTCTGTATAAATAGTCATTGTATTTAACTCAATTATCTTCATGTTTTGTTTTTGCTTTTTTACCAGTTTTGATTGCATTTTGGTAATTCATATAATTACTATCATGAAATTCATCACGCTTTTAGAAATGGCCACTTTCAGAAAGTGGAAGAAATTGAATGAAATTTAAATACTTTCCAGAGTTGTGGCAGATAATTTATTAGATGTTTTTAGTGATAATGAAGATGAGGATAATTATGTGAATGGACATTTTGATGGTTGTGAGAAACATTGTAATGACAGTGGCATCATTACACCTGTAAAGGATAAAATGTTAATGCTCACAAATGATTCTTATCCTGATGATGAGAGTGATTTTGTCTGATTTGTTTTGTCATAATGATGAAAATTATTGATCTGATACTGATTTTTTACCTCCATTACAAGTATTTGAAAGACATCTTGAGGGAGACATCTTGAGACATCTCATCATTACATTTTTGTTTTTCATCTCAGTATGACTGTGTAGCCTCTGTGACTAGCCTGTTATGATGACATGTTTGAAGCATTTTGTAATCCGTTGTGTACTTGTGATCAAATCTTGATGAAATACAAAATATCATCAAAATCATGTAAGTGGTCTCCTGTTACACAAATAAATATTATAAAAAGTTGATGAGGTATTAATTCATTTATAGTGGACTGGAGGGGGTACAGCCTGTAGGTAAAATACGCAGTCACTGTGGTAAATTGGAAAATTGTATCTGCTGTTTAATGTGTTAAGAAAGCCACTTCAAATCCATTTAGAATTTTTTGAAGATACATTGGTTTTGTATTGAAATAACTATCTTGATGAGTTTTATGTTATTTGAGTTGTGAAAAAAATTTCTTAATCAGATACACTAAAATATGAGTATACTCAATTTCCTAATATTTTGTTTTATATTTTCAGAGGGGGCAATAAAACTTCTTGAAGAAATGAGGCCAAATTCTGTGATAAACTTTGATACAATTGTACCAATATCTGCAAAGCGTGGCACCAATGTGTCTCTTTTAAAAGACAAAATTAGGTCAATAATTGATATTAGTCATGAAGAGGAAATGAGAAAAATGTCCAAAGACTGTAGAGTAGTGAAACAAAATGTAGATGTTATATATGCATAAGTATATAAAATTATTCTTTTATTGAGTGTATTTATATTTATTCATAAAATGCACATTACATATTTTTTCAAAAATTTGGTCTTTTTAGCAAATATATAAAATATATATACACTCACGTTTGTGAAAATTGCAACACCAAGAAGGAATCGTCATAATTGAATGCAATTTAATACACAGTTGAGTGGTAGTGGTACAAATAAATGATTAAATGTTCAAAGCAAACAAACAAGAACAAGAGATCAGAATCAGTATTTTGTGTGGTCACCACGCACCGCAATAAGTGCTGCTACACGACGTGGCATGGAGTCAAACAAAGTTTGAATGTCTGACTGAGGAAGAGCATTCCATATCGTTTGTACGCGTACCCAAAGTTCGTCTGCAGATGCAACAGGACGAGGATCACAAGCAAGACGCCGACCAATGACATCCCACACATGTTCAATTGGCGACATATCCGGGGAACACGCAGGCCAAGGAAGAAGCTGTACCTGCTGCGCTGCAAAGAAGGATTTAACAATCCGAGCAGTATGAGGGCGGGCATTGTCCTGTTGAAATACAGCGCCTGGCAAGCTTTGAAGGAAGGGAACAGCTTCGGGCTGTAGAACTTCACGGATATACCGGTTGCTGTTCAGATTGCCCACAATTCGTAGCAATTGAGATCGTCTATGATATGCTATGGCGCCCCAGACCATAACTCCGGGTGTTCGTCCACTGTGGCGTTCGATAATGCACTCCGGAAGGTGGCGTTCATCGGCATAGCGTCTGACACGAATGCGGCCATCATGGTACCACAAATTAAAGCGGGATTCGTCAGAAAACACGACATGCCGCCAATCAGCACGCCAGTCTCTATGCTGATTGGCCCATTGTAGCCACAGGCGGCGATGGTCGTGCGTTAGGGGGATCCTGTATAAAGGAGTCCGTGCGCGCAGTCCACACTGCAGCAGACATCTACGAATTGATGAAGCACACAATGAAACACCTGTAGCTATTGACCACAGTGCTGCCAATTGTCTAGAGGAAGCTGTACGGTCCGTACGCGCCATGCGGACCAGGTGTCTATCATCGCGAGCTGACGTCACATTTCGGGGTCCACTCCCGGATTTCCGAGATGTCCGACACTCGTCCATCCACTGCTTCCAAACGCGCATCACTGTGCTGCTGTTACGCTGCACACGAGAGGCTACTGCATGATACGACAATCCAGCTTCACGAAGGCCGATGATTCTCCCTCGTTCAAACTCTGTAAGTTGTTCAAATCTCGCTCTCTTTCGTCGACGAGGCATAAGTACAGATTGAGTTAACGTTTACCACTAGCAGATAACCACCGATAACCATACACGCCTCGCTACAGCCGTCTATTTATTCGGATCCATCAGCCGTTCAGAGGGCGCTGCTCAGCATACGCATGCGCTACGGATTTGCAATTCTAATCATTTGCATATCATGCGCTACTTTGCATTTCCTGAAACTTTCAGCTCACTCGCCTTCATGGTGTTGCAATTTTCACAAACGTGAGTGTATATATACAGTCAAACCTGCTGTAGCAAACCTAGTGTATAATTCTTGGATATAGCAGATTAACCTTTTGGTCTCTTCCCCTTGCTTATCCAAAATGTTTACAAAAGTCACAAAGTGGCCTTTATTTTCACAACCATTGATCATAAATACATACTTGTAGTTACAAAAATGTTTTAAATGATGCAAAGATTCATATTTTAGAATTTTTTAATCAATTTTGTAGAAATTAGGAAACCTTACATTTTATCCCCCAGTTCCCTATATTTATGTTTACAAAAATTTTATACTCATTTATAAAAAATGAAATTAAAAAAAAAAGCTGTGACTCTCATACAGCAAAAACTGGCCGAGATATTTTATTTTAAAAATAGGGGTCATATTAGGCATTGTATACAAATCGCAAAATGAATTTTTTCCGTTTATGTATAACTTAAAATACCAATTCAGAAAAAGATTTCTGATGTCAAACTATTAAGTAATTGTGCATATTGCCATGAAAAGTATTGATCAATAATTCACTTGAAAAAGGAAGTCTTACTCACAGAATCTTGTAAATTGAGTTTTCTCTAAAAAAACAATCACAGACTTGAGTATTGGCATGTAGCAAACTTGTAACATTATTTTCATGAATAAAAAATTTAAAATATTTCCAATTTAATGGAAAATGTTTTTTATGATTTAAAAAGAATAAAACTTCATAGCAATAATATGTTTATTGTGTTTAAAAATTACTTAGGTGAAAATTCTATTATCACAACAGTGGTATCTTTGAATGGCCATTTTCAGGGGAAAAAATTAACCTTGAATTATTCTAACTTAATTATTAGGTGACCTTTCAAAGCAAGTTGAAATTGACATCAGATATACCAAAATTTGAATTTAAATAACTAAGTCAATTTTTATGTTTTGGGAGTCATTTTTTCCCATAATGAGTATAAAATTTTATTAAATATAAATGTAAGAATCAAAGTATCATATAAAAATTAGATTTTGCAGTTTTTTTAAAACCGGATTTCTTTTTTTTTTTTTTTTCATTTAAAATTACCAAAGCATGAATGTTATCATCATTTAAAATATATTTGTAATTGGAAGAATGTTTCTACAAAGAATGGTTGTGAAAGTAAAGGATGGGTAAGGACTTTTGTAGACTGTGTGTATATTTAATATTATTTTATATAGCTAGAGCAAATCTTCAAACTACAAAAGTTGGATACAGTCAAAAGTCGTTAATTCGGACACCCATAATCCAGACCTTAAAGTTAAAAACTTTCTGCGCATGCGCCGCGTTGACACATGCGCATAGGCGTTTACGCGTGCGCGTAAGACCTCTTACGACTGCGTGTGCGCAAGCGCAGAATATGTTTTCGCGTGCGCGTTTTATGTATAACGAACGGTATAAGGTAAAATTATCTAATTATCTATTTCAGTTAATGTTGATGATTGCGTTGTTCCTTAATTTTTGAATTGGATCCGGCTTATTATTTTTTGCAGACTGTAAGAGCAATACTATAAAAGTAAACTTGAACTTTCGATTATGTCAAATAGAATTTCCGAATCTGGAGCTCCCAAAGGATCGTAGAAAACGAAAGTATGTTTCGATGTCCATCAAACAAAAAGTGGAATTGCTGCAAGACATGAAGAATGTGACAGAGAGGATAGTGAAAACGAAAAAAATTTCGATTGACAAGTTAGTCGGTATTCTCGGCACAGCAATTAATGGGACTTGAACAGCGGAACTTTGTAACTGAACAAAAAATTATGTCTGTTTATAGAATTAAAGAGAAAGTATTATCACATAAAACGAAGCAACTTAAACAACTTACATTGAAAGAAATGTTTAATAAAGTAAACAAATAAATATTAAGCTTTTTTTTTTTTTTTGTAAATTTTGATACCCTTTAGATCATAATTGTTCTTTATTTCATAAATTACAGTTTCATATTTTTAATTTTAGAATTTCTGCATGCCATCTTACCAGATTTAAACTGATGATCTATAATCCGGAAAAATCGATAATCCGGAATCGCCGAAGTCCCGACGAGTCCGGATTAACGACTTTTGACTGTATTACAAACTTTATGGATATCTTTGACTGAAGCTTTCTTTTTTGTATTTTTCATATTCTTTTCTGGAACTTTTGCAGGTTTTACTGAAAAATTACTAACTTAAAATTATATAATAAGAAAATACCTTATAACTGTTCCTTTATCTTCTCCTCTCACTTTTTTCTGCATTCTGAACAAGACTCTTTAAGGCATTGAGTTCCTGGAAACTGATATGACACCTAGTTCTTGGAAAAATTAAGGCATGCAAACTGTAGATAATGATATGGTGTCACAAAAATGGCTGCCTTTATTGATATAGTGGTTAGCAGTGATAAATATCATATGGTGATCTTCAGTTTCAATCCTAGAGAAGGCATGCATATTTGTTCTTGTGTGTGTATAGGTGCATTTAAAATACTGGCTAGTCAAAAGTCCTTTTTGAGTACCTTGATAGTAAAGGAAAGGGTGGGCGATAGAGATAGGCAAAACTGTGCTTCTGTGGAATCAAATCAGAATCATTTGCTTATTGAACTGAATCTATTCTTTTCTAACACTTACTGCTCACTAAAAATAGTCTTGAGGAAAAACACTGGGAATCAGGGTGAATCAAGAGCAGCTAGCAGAGATGGAGTGAAGAGTATAAAGAATGGATCATGCACTGGGATTGAAAATGGTTAGCGAGATCAAAGCAAGAAGTGAAAAGAATCGAATAGACATTGAAATGGGGAAAAATTGACTCAATTATATGCTAATGCCTTGACCTAATTTCTTTCAACTGTAGTTTTGAGATTCCCTAAAACCTCTTATCTACATAGAACTATCAACAGAATTATAGAATTAAATTTCTTTTTCAAAAAGTTGGAAAATGATAAAAATTATGAGAATAAAATGGGAATCAAACTTTCTTAGCACAATTTGAACAAGAGCTCTTGGTGGGTGAACTCTTAAGAGAGCTCTGTTCTTTTTTCATGAACCAGACATTTGCTTGCTTAGTAAAGTGGATCAGTTTACAAACAAATAGCATATTTCTGTTCCTAATATGCTTCCAGCAAGAGCTGTGTATGAACTGTAAAAGAACTACCCTTCCATTTTGAAGTATGCTTTTCATTTACTCAGTAAATTGAATTAGTTATTTGAATCAGTTCCAGAGTGAATCATCTGACTGTAGTGAGAGAATCTTTCTGGATCTGTGTGTCAGAAGTGTACTCATTCAAAATTGGGACAGAACTGTACAATTAGTGCAGTGAAACTATAACTATGAGACCCATTTCATGAAGTTCTGGTGTCATGCCCACTTCTTCCTCTCCTGCATCAGGAAATTGATTATTTATAATAATAAATGTGTATTCTAGAGGAAGATGTGCATTTTGAGGAAAAGATATAAAGCATAATTTTTTTATGCCAAGTAATTTATCATGTGTAATTATAAACGTATAGTGAAACTTTAAAAAAGGGGCGGTCAGACATTGATAGTATAGAGAAAAACAGCACTCATTAAAAAATATTATGAAAGAAAGAAAAGAAAAAATTCAGATTTTAATGTCACACTAAAGAATTTATTAAAGGTTGTAGAGTAATTTGGTTATATTAATGCAGGAAACTTGAAAAATATGCAATGCCCTTATGTGATTTGAACTCTGAACCTCATGATTATGCGTCAGATATGCTCATGAAGACTCATGCAAAGTTACATCATGAAAACTCATGAAAAGAAGAGAGAAAGTACCTTATATACTCCCCTTTTAAAGGGTGACTGAGGATGAGGGAGTGCAATAGCCAAATCCTGGTGGTGATGAATTATCGTCCATCACTCTGGACCTTCTGATTACATGTTGGGATGTGCTTCCAGCTACACCATGAAGGCACGTGGAAAGGAGGGAGAAAATACCTTATAAGGTTCTTTTGCTCTCGCTGAGCTCGCATTTTATCAGTCTACTCTTGGACTCTCTCCTGCTGACACTACATTTCTGCCTCTTTATTAATAAACATCACTTTCTTCACACTTATGCTGCATCAAATTCAACAACAAAATCACAAAATTTTTAAACACATAATATGTTGAAAATTCTAAATATAGTGTTAAGCATTGTCATATATTCAAATTTAACAACAAAACCCAAAAAGTTTTAAAAACAGCATATTTCTAGAATTATGGATACAGTGTTAAGTGTTGCCATAATTTTTTTAACTCTGAAGCCATTATTCTCAAATCTCACTTTTGTTGTTGTTTTCAGTTTTCCAATAATTAGTTGCTGGCATGGCTAGGTGCTTAAACAGTTACTATAAAAAAGAAAGAGAAACATATAAAATGCTTTTAATAAATCCAGCGAGTGTAATTCTGTGGGTCCTGCTGATAATTAATAAAAGAAAGAACTGTATTTAGGGCTTTTAAATCACTTATTTTTTTAACCACTAACAGGCAGATTAAATTTAAAAGAAAAATTAAATATTTTATATTTCATGAAATGGCAATAAATTCGTGCATAGAAGTTAAAAAGATTTTAACAGCCATGGTATAAGTAAATGGTTATCATATTTCAAAAGTGAATTGATTGTAATATTACACTATATTAGATTAGAATTTCTAGTAAAGTGTTAAATTTTGCCATATATATTTTATATTCACTGTATTATTTCTTTAAAAATAATGCATGTTGGTAACACTTTCACATGTAGTCAAGATGTGAAGTTTGAGACTAATAGCACTTCTGGTGCTAAAAATTTAATAATTACGTTTAATAGTAATTAATACTTAATCTTTTAAAAAACAGAGTTATTATTCACCTCTTTTGGTAGATATGATAAGGCAAATGAATTCTTTTGTGATTCATCAGCCAGTTTAGGAGATAATCTAATTTTATTATGGGATCAAATATAGGGAACATCAGATATACTGTATCAGACTTTGAGCCCCTTAAAGATTCATTATAATGGGGTTTAGCTGTATATATATAATTGTTTCCATAATTTCTTCTTTTGAGAATGAAATTGGTTTCTTGATAATTCATGCTGCATTATTCAAAATCCTTTTAAGAATGAAATTTTCATGAGGCTCAATTATTAGTCAGAGGTTGTTACTGAAAATTTTCATATTTAAGGCCAAGAAATTCCAAAGCATTCAGTCCTAATATATCATTCTGAAAAAAAAAAAAAAAAAATAAGAATGAAAAAATTAGAGATGTACATTGTGTATAAAAAATGGCAATGAACATTGAAATGTTAAAAAAATATTGAAAATGTTATTTTTCTCTCAGATTGATAAGTATTATTGAATCAACTACAGTGGTACCTCGATATACGAGTGCCCTAATAGTATACGAGTGTTTTGAGATACGAGCCGTCGAGTGAGCGATATTTTGCTTTGAGATGAGAGCAAGATTTGAGATACGAGGAATCGCACACGACCGCTACATGCGCGCGCATGTTGGTGTCGCATGCAGCGTCTAACAGTTTCTCCCAGCTCAGACTAGACTTGTTTCTCTGAGAAAATCCATGGGTTTGAAGGTGGATGAGAGAGATGTGAACGAACTCATCGAGGAGAACAGTCTCAGGAACTGACAACCGAGGAGTTACAAGATCTACATTCGCAGCAGGATACAGTGGTTCAACGAAAAATTAGTTTTGAAGAGGAGGTTATCCCTACAAGAGATATAAAGGAGATCTTGGGAATGTGGGAGAAAGTTGTGGAGTTCGTGGATAAAAATCACCCCGAAATATTTGCAACTGCTCGTGCATTGGAGTTGTTCAGCGAAACTTGCCTAACTCATTTCCGCAATATCCTGAATGGGAGGAAGAAACAAACCTCCTTGGACAGTTTTTTGAAACGATCTGCAGGGGGAAATGAGCAAAGCGTGACGAAAAAAGAGAAGACAAGTGACGAAAATTAAGCACTTCACTTTTTCTTTTAATTATGCTTTAATAGAATATGTATTTGTTATTTATAAATAAATGTTTCTTCTTGTAAATGCAATTTTATTATTCAAAAACAACTGAGGTGGTATTTTGAGAGCTGGAACGGATTAATGGCATTTCAATTAATTTCCATGGTGAAAATTGTTTTGAGATACGAGCAATTTGACATATGAGCAAGGTGTCAAAATGAATTAAACTCGTATGTCGAGGTACCACTGTAATTAATAATTTTAATTTTAATGTACTCAGCTATTCTATTTTTGTTAATTAATTTTTATGCTAAAAAACCAATGCCTTATTGAAGTGTGAGTAGTCTACTAACCGTTAATTAGAAAATTTCACCTTTGGTTTGCGATATCCGAAAACCTTCAGATTCGCCGCTATCATTCGTCAGTATACATTTTTGGCTATGTATCATGAGATTAGCTACTAAAGACAAGTTGTTCGGATAAATTTTATCTTGCTTCTGTTGTGCACTGAGACAATTAAGCCTAAATTGTATTAGTTTAGTTATTTATTGTAGTTACGCCTATTCCTTGCATATGCTTAAGGCTTATTTGAGTCCTGAATAAATAAATTTCCACATATACTTAAGGCTTATTGAGGGCTGATGCTAGAAATCTTACCGCCTGTTGCAGTCTCTGTGGGTCCTAAATTCTTGCTACCAAGTGCCTCCATTTGTCTTCCCTAAATTCTGCCACTCGATGCTGCCATACGAGCTCTGGCGCCGGTTCTGGGCTTATGTGAATAACAAATCAGTTATTCTTAATTTAAATAAATGTGATCACTAAAAAATAAATTTAAATAAATGTACCACTAAATGTATTCTTTTTGCCTATGATTATCATTAACAAAATTTATTTTTAGCATATGGAAAGAATTTGTTTTCCTGTCAACATTTCTTAGCACATTAGCCTTAAATCTGTAATCATCGCCAAGTGGTAATGTCAACATAAAAGGTTACCATACTCTTTCTTATTTAATTACTAATATAAAAAAAATTTTTTTCAAGCTTCCCTACATGAGTTGTCTTGTGTCGATAAACATGCGGTGATGAAAGGAAAATCTAATAAATAGTGAATCGCCAAGTTTGGCATCAGGTATATAAAATATTAGTAGGTGTAAAATCAACGATGTATCTATGTAGAATGTTTCGGTTTGAGATGTATGCCAAGCAGATACGCAGCTACGGAGCCAAATCATTGATCATACAAAATTATGCTAAAATGATTGTTTCTTCAATAACGAAGTATTTTATTTAGTGCCGAAGTGAAATTAAGAATCGGGACTCTGCACATTCGCGGGGGGGGACGGGGATCAAATGCGCATGCATAATGTACACTTAAAAAAAAATTAAAGAAAGTTGGTGGTAGCTTTGAGGTCTGGATTTTACATTATTCCGGATATTGGACGTCCAGATCTTAGATTGTATACTATTTTTTTCGATCAAAAGAAGTTTTAAGAAATGTAAGCGCTTAATATTTGTTAACCATATTGTTATTTTATTATGACATTTATTAAGACTCAATAACTTGAACTTTTAAATATTCATTAGTTCTCATTGCCAATATTAATGTGAAGAGTCTCATCTTAAATCTCATCATCATTATCTAATTTACAAGGAAAATTTTAAGTTCACCTTGCTCATAAAGAAAACTCTATTCAGCCTCTAAAGATTAAGCATTAAATGAACCAGCGTTACTAACATTTAGTAGACTGTTTAGTGTGTGGGGATACTATTATTTAACTGCAATTGAAATAAAATGTACTTTTTACTTTCAAGAAATTGTAATATATAATCCTCTCATTAGTTTTCTATAAAGTTCTAAAACAACAAAATGTACTGGAAAGGTCACTGCAATTCCAGTACATTACGATCAGTTTGTTTCCACACTTAATCCACTTTGAGGCTGTCAGCCTGGCTCGCATTCGATATTGGCGTAGTGGCCCTGCACCTGGTGTGATGGTTTGGGCAGCCATTGGGTTACACGAGGCACATACCTCTAGTTCAGATCAACGGTAATTTGAACGCAGATGAGTATATTTCTGACATTTACGTCCAGTGTTGTGCTCTATCTTGAAGGCCCACAAACGCCATGTTCCAACAAGATAAAGCAAGATCACATGTTGCACGTCGTGTTCTGACTTTCCTTGATACACATGGTATTCGGTTGTTGCCCTAGCCTGCACGATCTCCAGATTTGTCACTCGTTGAAAACATCTGATCATAGGCTGCTGAGAGACTGGCCTTCCATGCCTCTCCAGCTAATACGGTTGATGAAGTGTGCCATAGACTTGAAGCAACATGGTTTGAGTTGCCCATTTCTATCATCCAAGCCCAGTTTGAAACCATGCATAATGGGGTAAGGGTCGTTTTAGTTGCCAACGGTGGCAGCTGTTTCTACTAATTTTGCACTCCTGTAAACCTCTAAAATGCTTACAAATTTAATCATTTTGTCTTCATGCCATACTGTTTACATGCGATAAATATCTTTTCTTATATTTGCTTTCCTTCATTCATGGTGTTGCAATTTTAACTGACAGCATTGTATTTTAGCATTGTAATGAATGGTAATATGCTGTGGGTTGAGTGAATAAAAGTATTTTATTTCGCGCAATGACAATATATTGCTTTCAGGTAGCCGAGTTTGTTGATTAAAACTGAAAGATAAGTGTCTTACATATTGCCGAATGGCAACACTCTCGTACGGCGGAGATGAAAATGTTTCGTTTCGAAAAGTGTTACCACTTCTGGCTTTTACATCACTGAGTATATTAATCAGAAATTCATTAAATTTATACACAGTAAGAAAAAATTGAAAAGCAAATTTGAAATTTAAGGTGCACATATTCATATGGACATATTCTGCGTGGAGAAAAATTAGGTGGCTGTAGGTGCCGCTTTTTTCCCACAGTGCAAGGAACATGCATACATATAGATATTTGAGTTTCAGACTGGTAACAACCTCTTTTGCACATAAATCATAATAAAAGTAAGAGTGATAACAGTCTGAAATAACAATGCTTAAAGCAAAATTTTGGTATTATTTCCTGAAACTGTGATTTTATGTTAGCATTCGAAAAATCTGGTATACTATATAGTTTCATAAGCACATCAAAATATAATCTGCAATTCTCTCTACATAAATATTAATATATGATATTTTTACAGTTTTCAATGCTGATCTATAGATTTAATATTATAAAAAGTAAACATAGTGTAATGGTATATCCTAAACTGGCCTCTTACCTGAACTCTTTTAGTTAAATCTGATGATTCTTGAATTAATTTTCCTGGAAAATGTTCTCCAAGTGGAAAAGGGTAATCGCTGCCCAGGAAAACATTTTTCTAGGAATTGAATGTATATTAATGAGCAGAATCATATAATTTTTGGTAATTATTCAAAAATATGTATTTGAAGATTAATTTCTTAATGCACTCAGTCGTATTAATTCGGATACACCAAACTAAATTATTTCTGTGCACCTGAGTAAATATGTTTTAAAAAAAAATTCAGATATGAATATAACAAAATATATCTGCTTCAGCTTTAGGTAAAAATAAAGGTAATAAAATTAAACGAGGCTGAGTTAAAATAATGGAATAAAAAAATTCGCAGAAAAAACACCACTTTCTAAATTTTTATTGGAGCATCAAAGGGTTAATAAGAGATTGCAAAAAGGCACAAATTCCCTTTTACAGAACTATGTTGAAGTCCAGTTTTGTACTATTTGGTGAATGGCTATATGGTAAAGACTGCAAAATATATATTTAAAAAATATTTAAGTCTTTTTTGCAGGAGACGAATGTAATTCATATAAGAGCTCTTAAGAAGGCAAAAAAGGTACTATTAGGTTCATAATGGATTGAATGCACACAGAACTGATGACAGCCTGATAAAATTTACTTATCCAAAAGAAACACTTTAGAGATCTGGAACTTTCCACAAAAGTACTCATACATTTTTTCTCAGTATCAAAGAGGACAATCAGTACTTACTCTTGAAACTACTAAGAACGTTAAACACAATGCAGTGTAAATGCATGTAAAAGGCGAAGTCCACAAGTATATCTCAGTACTCCGAATTGATCTCTGAGCTGACAACTGATGCTGGTCTTATATAGTTTTCTCGCGGCTGCTGAGAAATCTCTAGTACTTTCCACTTCTCAAAATTACTGGAAGGCATATGAGGGCCGGATACGGATTACACTACAGTTACAGATACGGCTAAGGATCAACTACAGTTATTCAAGAACAGTACTAATTGCAGTTACCTGGCGACAAACATTAGTCGCCAAAATCATCAATATCTCGCTAATTTAGTGAGATAGCCATTTATATCAATGTTAAATAAACTTGCCTCTTTAATCTTATTTGTCTGGCAGAGCTTCGTCTCTTTCAAGCATTTCATGTTAGATTATACTATGACTACTACAATTTCGCATATAATTTCACTACAATTATTTACATATATAAATTTGTAACAGTTTGTTGATTCACTTAAACAAGACATTTCATTATTGCTTTAGTTTCTGACCGGCTATTTTGGTTGGTTAGTCTTTGCTAACATGTTATTCTGTAGTGGGCGGATGGTTTAAAATGAATTTTTTTTTAGATTAGTTAAAGTAATGTCTTTAGATTTTGTTGTCTTTAGATTTAAGTTATTGTACAAGGTCTGTTTATTAAAGAAGAGTATTTTCTGATTGACAGCAGTACCAAAAAGTCGACATTGAGTATTGGAGACTGTGAATTAAGAAATGTTTGTTTGGATGTCTTTACAACTCATAGGTACAATTTCATTCATAAATAATAATGAAAAGAAGCATTTTATGCAAAACAAGAAATTTTATGAGAAAGAACAAAAACCTATATGACCGATATTTTTAAAGCTGGTGGATGATCGAGCTAGATATTTTGCCGCCCGTCTCTTTCTTACATATAAAAAAATTGAAGCTACTAAATTCTTCTGCCTGGGCTTTGGTACTAGCCTTAATTTGTGTGCACTCAAACATGTGTATGGTAGGTGTATCCATGAGTAGTGTTCTGTGTACCTAAAAAATGTACCAAATCACAGCAATTGTATCAAATATTAAAACCTAGGCTGTGAATTATCAGAAAATACGTAATTCAGTTTAAATAAAATAAAAATGAAAGTGGTAGTAAAAAGAACTTATAATATAGGGTAATTCTAAAATTCTAAGCAAACTCTTGAAACTTTTGAAATTGAGACACAAATACAAGAATAAACTGTATTTGCATAGGATTATACATATAGCTGTAAATGTGATCCATGTGTGCTAAAACAGACGTAAAAATTATGTAAAAAAACAGTTAAAGTAATGCAATATGTTTAAAAAATGTATGTTTATAATTTCTGAAGAAGGGCTCAGATTCTTTTCATTAATTGCAGTGCATGGTTTGCAATATTGACAGATGTTCTGAACATGTTTGCCAATATATGAATATGATAAACATGTCCACTAGGTCTCTTGTGCCTTAGCGATTCTGAACATGTTTGCGAATACATGAACATGGAAACATGCCCTTTAGGTCCTTTTGTGAACATGTGCTTCTATGATTCTTGTGATGAGGACACTGCCAGAGACTATCAGGCTCTCAAACACAAAGCTCATAATAGCAATTAATGGAAGATAAGTTGAATGGTTTTGGTGGCCAAAAAAATAAGCAAAATGCTTTTCTGCCCGGCAGCACCAATGCCTCAAATAATAATGACTTGCACTGCTCAGTGCCATTTCTGGTGAACATTGCCTCTTAGCAAATAGTGGGTAGCATTTGCAGCTATGTGTTTCTTATAAAAGTGGTTTGCTTTTGTAAAGAGTAAAAGATTATATCCGTTATAAAAAAAGAATAATATTTATTGAAATGGCAAAAAATGGTAAGAAACATCAAACCTAAAAAGCCGACTCAATTGACTGATTATTGAAAGCTTATCTCATTACTTGGGCAAAAAGAATTGCGTATGTTTTTATTTACTGGCTATACATTTTAAACAAGACATCTGGCACTAAATTTTTACAGAAAGAAAAATTTCACATTTATTATAGATGCTTACTTCTCCGACTACTTTCAACAAGAGTTTCAGTGAATCAGTGTTGTGCACCAGAGCATCTGAATAAATTCTCCCTAAATAAGAACTTGGGGGTATGGAATTCTCCACTGCACAGAGATCTGGCCTCACCTGTGAAAAGCATGAATTTGGGTGAAAGTATTATCAGATAAAAAATATTATGCTAAGTGCAATCAGCATTATAAATCTGAGTAATAACTATTTTTACACACTTTATATCTGGACAAAATAATTCTTCAGAAGCACATAATTTACAATGAGCACAATCTGCAAGCATCCTTCATCTTGTTTTTTGCCTTTTTCACATTATAATTGATAATATACAAAGGAAAGCGGCGAATTTTTAGCTGGAAGCAAGCAAGCAGCAGAAATATAATAGTGCATTCAAAAAAAGGCCTAAGAGAGAAGTCAAATGTTTGCTCAATATTAGTTTCTATTTGAAATCATCGTGATTGGCTAAAGCTTTTATATGAATATTTTCATTAGCAGGGTTCTCTAAGGTTATATGATATGAATTAATTTGGAAATGATGCAGTTTAGAGATACTTATTATAAACAGCTATTATTTTTAGAAAGTATCCAAATTAAATCTGGGATTAGGGACTATTTCAAATTTAAATTCGAAATTTGCTTCACGTATTTTTTTATCTTACATGTGTATGTGTAAGATATGAAATATGTAACTCAAAATTATAACTTAAATCAGGAATAAAAACACATTTCTAATTTAATTTGTGTATCTCTCCTTTCTGTTCTAAGGAGCAGATTTTTTTATAATAATTTTTTTTTCTCGGCTGCACCTTTAGAGATTAATCCGTTTCATGCTTTCTTATGAAATTGATTAATTTGAGTATCTCCTCTATCAGTTCGAAAAGTAGAAATCGTGTATCTTAATTTTGGGATATCTTATTTGAAATTGTATATCTCCCCTTTCTGTTCTAATAATTTTTCTGGACTGCTTATTTTCAAATTAATCCGGTTCCTGCTGCCATACAGACAGCTGTTATCCAAGCAGATTAAAGAAGCTTTTGACTATATATTCATACTTTTAAATGTGTAGACCTTTTTTTCTCGCTTTGCTTTCTTACGGCAAACTCGCATCACTGCTGGCGTCTGCGTATAGTCCATTTCTTAAGATGAGCTGAATTTTCAAAAATTGTGTGTGGGGGGGGGGGTATATTGTACCCAAAATAATGTATGAATAAAAAAATGCGTCTAAAGTATTCTTTTATCAAGAAAATCAAAATTATGTGGTGAAGTTAGGCCATGTCTGTTTTGAAATTGCATTATTTTTTCTACGCAGGAAAGAATCTGCAAGTTATTGCAATACTACAAATTATCGACAATCCGTTATAAGTATTTTCAATTCATCCGATTACATACATGTGTGTGTGTGTGTAAGACAGAAAGTAAACAGCTTGCTAACTTTACTTCGAAATGATTCCTTTCTAGTCATTTTAGTATCGGTACTTCCACATGCTGTCCTACAAATAGTTGATAATTATAATAAATAACTAAACTTTGTCATTTCAAAATTAATCTGTATCATGTGATTCCTTCGTAGCACTAATGACGTAGATACTTATATATAGTGTTTAGTCAATAATGATTTTAAAATTCAGGAACCCAAACTTAGTATTAACCAATCAAAATAAAGCTAAGCCAAAATTAAATCATTCTGAACCAAGCTTTTATTTTGTGTAAGCTCTATTCTGTCTCTCTCACGCATCCGCTTTGCTGATTTGCTGCTGCACTTTTCCTACTGCATCGAAACTTACCCCTTTGCACTTGATAAGCGAATCTGGGCCATCACTTGATTTGATGTAACTCAAGATGTGACTCTCGGTCACCACTCGGTTTGATGCGATAATACGAGCGTTAATGATGTTTACTTAGGTTTGGTTTGTGCAACAGCGTTTCATGAGTGTATTCAACAATACGTGTATATAAACAGTTTCCAATCTGTAATCTTATATACTTTTTTGATTTATTGTGATGTAAGCGTCTTCGACATTAGTTCGAGAACTCGACAGCAGTACCAATAGGAATATTATTTTCAAACATTTTTTCTAATTGTTGAATCTACAATGACTACGAAACTTGGCAGCCAAATAAGATTAAATATTCATTTTTATGTCAATTGACATTTGTGGCCGCAATTCACTTGGCACTCTAATCGTGCCTATTTCCAGAATTTACATTTTTATATTACATACGGCAGATATAGAAAGACAGCAAAGAAGCAGCTTCCTAGCGGCATCAGAGGTAGAAGTAAAACACCAAGAGAAGGATTTGGTTTAGGTTGCCTATTAAGAGAAAGGTTTCAGTTTTCGAATTCAGTTTCCGACTTAACTACGTCATTAGCGTTTTCAAGCCATGTGTCGTAGATTTATCTAGAAATGATGCAGTTAAGTAAAAAAAGTTATTAGTATTATTTTTAGAATAGAGAGGAAACATCCAAATTAAAAATGAGAAATTAAAAAAAAACTATTGCTAAATTAAATTATAAAGCTGATTTACGTGTTTTTTTATCTAACATATGTAAGAAGGAACACAATTACATGTACTATATGTACTTTTTTATCTGTAAAAAGAAATACAACTACATATACTATATATTTTTATCTTATATATATATATATATAAACTTAAAGCATAAAAAAATTAAATTAAATTGGAATCAAAGCAAGGCAATATCCCAACAATATTAATAATTGCAACCTTTGATAAGAGGTCACACATTGTATCTAAACAAATCAAAATTAATATAAGAATACATCAGTAGAATAAACTTGAAAAATAAAAATGCGAAAACCTTATTAATTTATATACTTATTTATTTCTGGGTCATATTATTCAGATAATAAGGATTCTAAAAGAGAACTATCTTACGTTAAATCCATGCTCGATCCTTCCTAATGTGTAAGGAAATGCACCAGCTCCATGAGCAAAGCATATTTTCAGCTTTGGGAATCTTTCAAGAACACCTCCGAAAAGAATGCAACAAATAGCAGTTGTTGTCTCCGCAGGCATACCTATCGAGACATAACACCCATTTAAAATTTGCTGTAGCTATACAGTGAAACCTCGGTTTACGAGGTTAATAATAAAGAATATTAAACGATTTATTTAATAATTATTTAATAATAAAGAATATTAAATGATTGAAGCATGCTATAGCGCCTGCGCATATAAAACTGCATGCACGTATCCTGTTATGAATCATGAGAGTTGCAAATGATTGTGTTACCATGTTAACAAACTGTGAGGTTTGTTGACCCAACCATTGGGTCAAGGTATTCTTGATACCTTTAAAACATATTACACAAGAAGAGCATTACAGTAGATTTTAGAAGTAAACGATTTAAAATAAATTAATGTAATGGAAGCATGGGAGACATTTTCAATCAAGAACTGAATCGACATTGTTACTTTGTCGCCGAAAAGACTGAAAGCATTAACGTTAAATGCATGTTAGAAGAAGATATGGCCTTCTTCAGTTGAAATAGAAAACATGCGTTTATCTTCAGCAAATGAAATTGGTGGCATATTAGAATTTGCTAAATCAATCGGAGCCGAAGGTTTTGTGAACATGGCTATTGAGGGTGTTCAAGATTTATTAGCAGAAGAAGAAACTGACGAAGATTTGATAGAAATGGCATCCGAAGCTGTAAATCAAATAGCTTCTGAGAACACTACCACTGATAAAGATTGTGAAGTTAATAATTTAACATTGAAAAAATTAAAAGAAGGCCTACGCTTAGCTGAAAAATCTCGAATTATTTTTCTTGAGTGCAGATCCTTCCGCTGAAATAAGCCGAAAATTAAAAAGGGAGCTGCAAAACTGCCTAGCTCTATATCGAGAAATTCAAAATGACCCGGTAAAAACTAGTAAGCAAAGTAAAGTTACAGATTTTTTAAAGAGGGAAGAAAATGCTAGAACATTAAATGAAGAAAGAAATTCTGAAAGTAAAAGCGATCTCATTCCACCTAAAAAACGTTCTCTATTGATTGCACTGAGCTATGACAACGAAGAAATTTATTACTAAAGTTGCGTTAAATTAAAATATGTAATATTTTATATAACACATGTTTAATAAAAATTAATTTGTATATGTATAATTAAAAAATATTTGATTTTAATAAGTTTTCGCAACGTAACTTCCCTTTTTGTACTGGCTCTGGGTCTCATACAACACGGTTTCACACAACACGCCATTTTCTAGGAACCTATCTACCGTGTTATACGAGGCTTACCTGTACTTTATTTTTTACCACGATGTTTTTAAACTGCAAAAAGTTATTGAACCGCTTTGTTTTCAACCACGATATTTTTGTACCATGGACCTGCGATGTTTTCTCTTTTCTTTCTTTTCTCCCACGATGTTTTGTACCACGACGTTTTCGCCTTGTGTTGTTTTCTCGGCAACGTTTCCGTCTGTGATGTTTTCGGAAGTGTAAGATATTTAATTTTTCATTCAAATCTATTCTGTTATCAATTAAAAAAGTAAGTGATTTCAACGTAATTTCACCAAAAAATGTGAAGAATTCTTTCACGCATAAAATTTATCTTACTATAAGCATATTCTAGTTTTTTTTTTTTTTTTCTTTTTTCTTTTTTTAAATTTGCTCTGAACTACATTTTTTTTTTTTTTTTTTTTTTTTTTTTTCTATTGCTTTTTATCACTGCATTAAGAGAAAAACAATTCTTAAAAATTTCGCGGAAACAATGAGTGGTTAAATACCTCTGAATGCTTGTAGTCCAACCTGGTTCGAACCTACGCGAACGGGCTGGTTGCATGGTTGTTTTTCGTGGTTTTTCCAATATGCAATGTTAATACGTGCCAGTTTCCCTTAAGAAGTACTAAGTATTGCGTCATAAGAAACTTTAAATATTTATCGATAAAGATTCAGTTATTATTAGGAAACTAAATATTTTTCATTGTTTTCGATATTTAAATACGGTACTAAATCTAAGTAAAGTTAAGGAAAAAAAAAAACTAATAAATAAATGACATAATTTTAAGAATCTTGTCATTAAATTCGAAATTAAAGTTAAACAATTATTGGGGGTGACAAACTTAGTAAGGAACCAGTTCAGATGACAGACTTATTATGTAAAAACGCATAAATAGCAGTTTATTTGAATATGGTGAAGCACATGGGGTATATCTGCCTTGTGTTATTTCGTTCCTTTCTTTGATATTATGCTTTCATTTGGACCTTTACATTTTTGCTGGATATGTTCTGAGGACCCTGTATAGAAAGAGATCTCTGTTAGAATCTTATAAATTCCATGCCTAGAAGACTAAGTCATAAGAAGAAAATGATACCCAGCATTATTAAAGTTTTTTTAAACAGATCTTTACAAAATCATCCATTTTTGTATTCCAATATCATTTTGACAGTTGCTTTTGCGCTAAATCGAGCGGTAAAGTTGATAAACAACCCGGGTTCGAATCAAAGCGAATGGGCTGGCTACATGGAACTCTTATCCGAATGAATAATATGAAAACAAGCCAGTTTCCCTTAGAAAGGCCTCCAACAAAGGCATTTCGTCCCCATAGGCAGACAGTCCTCGAGTTTCTTCGCCTTGATGAATTAACCTAATCTCATTTTTAAACAAGAAGTGCGTAATTTAATATTTATTTAGCATTATTTTTAATTAATTTTGAGATATTGCGATTGCGTTTAGCCCTCCGATATGATAAGAAAAGTGTTTAAGTTAAATATTTAATTATTCTTTCAAAAATGTTTGAAAGTTTATTGTGAACCGATTCTTTTTTGACTCACTGAATATGGCTAATGATCAAAGCACCTACCCACAAGCCAGGGAAGCCAGTACTTGCTCATGCGACCTCCTGTCTCCATATCCCATGGGTGAACAAACACTGGACATGAAAGGTCTTCTGCCGTCTGGAAAAATAAATATAGAGAGTGTTTACACATTTTTAGGACAATTTTGGTAAAGAATTAAAAAAAAAAAAGCAAATACTTTGGAATAAAAATTTCTGGTAACAGCTTAGTAATTCAATATCGTCTGCTACTTTTAAATTTATTCTTTTTTCAAAATATTGCATGTAAACAAGCTGTGCATTGAAGAACAGATTTTTGCGCTTTCCGAAAGGAAATATTCTTATTCCATAATTCAAAAACATTGTAAAATGCGTAGTATTAAAATTTCTGAGGGAAAAATAAGAAGCATTATTAATCAGAAAGAGGAAAACCGTCAGGCATTACTTCTACATGGAAAGAAAACTCCAAACGAAATACCCGAAAAAGGTACGTGCTGTTTCTAATGTTTCTAAAGTTAAACTACTGATAACAAGAGAAAATGCGCCGACGCAGAAATCAATTGCAAAGTCTTTAAATACATCTATAGAAGTAATAAATAAAATAACTAAGATTTACAATTTAAAAGAGCTAAGAAACGTTGTGTTCTTGAGCTTTTGCCTAGACATGTGGCTCGATGTAGAACAACTTGTACAACCCTGTATGAAAACTATTTAGCACGATATAAATTGAAACCTTCTGATACTCGATGAAGCATGGGTTTACCTAAATGATTGCAGCAAACAAGGTCTATATATTACGAAAACGAAAAGGAAAAAAATATATAAATCTAGTCCGTTAATGCGAAGAAAGTTTCGGTAAGGGATTTATGATTGTCGCAGGATTCTCTTACAATGCTAAATTAAAATCAAGAAGAGTGGGGAAAATGTGTTAAAACCAGCTCAACGTACTATCGAGAGAAAGTTCTATATATACAGAAGAATATACTTAAGGATATTTACAGAAGAATTCCATTTCTTTATCCCAATGACTTTATCCCAAAAAGGGGAACTTCAAGGCAAAGCAACAAGTCGTACTTCGGAAATTACTACTACATTTTTTGAAAAAAAAAAAAAAAAATGATGACTGATACAGATAGTGCAACATAGTTACGTCTCCTGACTATCACCTGTGGACTACTGCGCCTTTGGTCTCTGGAAATGAGTTCTTCCTAAGCGCAAGACTTTTAATAGTAGTAGAAGAGGTATAGAAAACTATACCCCCTTGAAATTTTACGAAAAGCTCTTCTTTCTTGGAAATTAGGAAACAGGCTTATAGTCCAGAAAAAAGGGTTATCAGATCGAATATTTAAAAAAATACGCTTTGCATTTTAAACATTAAAAGCAGAGCTGGCTGTAATAAGTAAGAGCAAGACGCAGCTGCTAGAAGCTCTAATGTTTATAAAATTCAAAATGCTCAACTTGAATACAGAAAAACTTATTTGCATTCTGGTGAGGACTATGGAAAAAAGACATTATAGTAAAGGTTTAAATCATAATAATGATTAATTAACATAAATTATCTTACAAACTGAAATTTGTGTACAATGGTCAAACGTCAAATTATTTTATTATTAATTTTTTTAAAATTATTTTAAGTAGTTAATTTTTATTTTATTCTATTTTTTAATACTCAAGAATACTCTTTACATTTTAAACATTAATTAAATGGCCCGGAAAGCATTCTGAAAATTCTGTAAACACTCTTGTATTTTGAAAAAATAACGAAGAAGGAAAAAGTGGCATTAAAAAGTTTTTATTCAAATACGTAAAAAAAAAATGAAAGTTGTATAAAACAAAATTTATGCCTTTCGTATGAAAATGTACAAAATGTACGGAATTATAAAATGAATGTATTAAATATATGGATATGTATAAAGAATCGGTGATGTATTTCATATATTTCATATTTGTCATTCGGCATTTCGGCATTCTATAGAATGGCTAGGTATTCTATAGAAATCTGGTTCTCATACATTGGCCAACAACACAATAAATTTGATCTTTTGTTCAACTATTAATAAATTAAGAGTCCGGAAAATGCATGCAACCTGTATGGACAATATCCGGTACTTATTCATTAGCGTAAGCACTTTGGCAATTTATTACAGATGAAAAAGCTACTTATTGGATAAAAGTTGGCGGTTTTTGCGACATTTATTAAAAAGATACTCAAATTATCAGATTAATTGTAAGTCATCAAACATCAACATATTTAACGAAAGCAAACTTTAGCTATTTAAAATACAAGTTTTAGTTACTAATTAAAAGATTTTATGACGCTTTAAAAATAAAATACATTATTAGCGGGTTTTTTTTTTTTTTTTTTTTTTTCTTGCTTCTTTACATGTACACAAAGCTCTATTTCCGCTTAGAAAAATCAGAGAATTGCAGAAACTTGGCATCGCGCTCAACCTCGACATCGCGCTTCGACTGTTTACCAAACACGTCTCATCGTTGATCCTTTAAGCGATTTTGCAATAAAAACTGTATTTGTATAGAGAACTGTATTACTCCAGTTTCTTTTACTGCAAGCAAACTTCACAAGCACGTATTTTTAAATTGAATTTAAAGCGAAAAGTATCACAATTTGTCTATCAAAACAGTTGAAACTTTGAAAAATGAACTCATATGAAAATGGCGACTTTGATTAACAGAAAGATTGTTTTGAGCATGGTTGCCAGAATTTTGCTTATTTTGAAAATTTGGCAACTTTACTAAGATGGATGCGATAATACGTAAGTACTCAATATCCTTCAAAGATTTAAATGAAATCTGTATTAAAATAACACCACGCCGAATAATGATTATTGGAGGAGTTAAAGCAATAAAAATCAGCCTAATATTCATAAATTTTCAGGACTTGTTTTGAAAATTTAGATATAGAACCTATTCTTCAGCTAAAGAAGTACAAATGAGCAAAGAGAGGCCAGTGATAAGAGGCGATAAAAATGAAAGGAAAGAAAATTATGAGATAATTACCTTAAAAGCTGAACGTGAAGACGGATTGAAACTGAGATCGTTAACAAGAACTGAAAGATTTTTATGAATGTGAATCGCCTCTATAAAATCTAATTGACCAACGGAAGATGTTTTTTGAATAATTTTGGCTGCAGAAAAATGCAAAATGGTCTTTCACTTTTCACTTTTAATGAACAACTCGGCTTTCTAAAAGCGATGTATTGCCATTGCCGTAAATAAAGTACTTTTATCTTTCACGCGCCAGCGTATTGCTGCTCAGTAAAGCCTAAGATATTTTACTTTCAAATCTAATCTATCTGTTATTAAGGAACAAACTAAACGTTTTGAAAAGCAAAAAACACAGTTCTTGAGAATATTTAAAAAAATTTTTTTAATCTGATTGATTTAAATAAATGTGATGAAATGTCTAATTAGAAATATTTAACATTTTTATAAGATGGCATTAGCTAGACTCGTTAAAACCATTATATCTTTTTTAATGATTACTATTTCAGGCATTTGCCGCGGAAGTGATTAGTAAAATAAAATATAATAGGATACATTTCTATGAAGGAGGATGTAGACATCCGGTAAAATTATATTTTTAAAAGACGGAGTAGTGGATAATGACGCGGACTGCCGCTCCAAAATTCCGGGGTTCGAATCTGAGAAAGCATGGATGTTTTGTAAGCGTATAGTGTCTTAGGTGCACTCAAAATACATGGCGAGGAAGAAACCCATCTAGAGGTTAGCGGTAATAAAAGAAAAGGTTTGGTTTATTTAATTATGGCAAAGCACACTAGGGCTATCTGCCTAAGAGGAGGGATGCCTTCGTGGAGGACTTTCTAAGGGAAACTGGCTCGTATACACGTTACACATAATAAAATAAAAGAAAGGTAAGAGAAGGAAGGTAGATGAACCTCGAACCGCCACTGGGATGTTCTCCCTCGGAATTTCATTAGGAGCGGAAGCTTTGTAGTTAGGAAAGCCCAGCGAAAGTTAGGAATTAGTAGTTAGGAAAGCCCAGTTGTTTAAAACCGGAATCACGTTTACCGCCTACCCTCAACAGAGTTTCGAAAGAAACATTTAATGAATTTTCATTTTCGGGATATCTGATTGGATGGCTTATGCTGAAATGAGTTCTTTGGAGTAAAACTACGAGAAACGTTGTTTTAGGCGAAACATTTTCATCTCAATTGTAGATTCTTCCGCATAGCTCTCCGGGACATCGGTTTCGGAGAAAGATGTTTTGGCTAGAAACCCTCTAGTGGTTGTAGAAGGAGAAGCTCATTTCTCGGGAAAGTTTCGCCTAGCCTCTCGGGCTATTAGATGATGATAACTCCATAATATTGCTTTCATGGATGCACAGGTGTTTCTCTTGCTGCAACCTATTGCAGACAGATATCAGCCGACAATCTTTAGATTCTTTACGTACAGATTTTACTTGACTGTGAAGCCACGCGTGAGAGAGACAGCAAATGGATATTGAATTATACTGAGTGCCTTATAGTAGGTTATACTACAGAACTATAGTACAGAAGTTACTCAACCAGGAGATAATTATAAGAAGGTAATCCTTAGTCGGAAATGTGGTCAGCATTTTATTTAGCTATTAAGTATTTAGCTTCAGTGTATGAATTTAAAAAAAAACTACTTGAGTTTTGTTATTTTTCAAAATTTTCTGTACCTTTTTGTCGTTTAATTGCAGAATTTTAGTTTTTTTAAGCAGGAGGCATGAAACATGTGCAGTGCCATCGCCGGGATTCGAACATCGGACCTCCAAATTGTCAGCCGGACATGCTATCCATTTACACCACGAAGGCACACGGTAAGAAAGGAGAAAATACTTTCTAAATTTATAAAAATGTATTAAAAATCTGATGTGGACAACGCATGATTTCCTTATACGCTTATTAAATTATACACATTTTTTGTTGTTATTTCATCTAAACTTGTTTCATTTAAAGGTGAGATAGGATCCTCCAATTCTTTGATAAAGTGTACAGTTACGCAATTGCTTAAATATTAATTTTTATTAACATCAAATATTTATAAAATTATTAACTCCAAATTCTTACCTGAAATATTAGGGTAAAGTGCCATTAAATTGGTTTTTAAATAAACTTAAGTCTTTTTTATCTTAATTAATACTATGCTCTGTAAATTATTATGATGTAACCATGAACAATGTGAAAACAAAAAGAAAAATTTTAAGTCTAGTAAATTTTTAATTTGCATTTGCAACCTGTTTTTACTGAGTTTAAAAACACTTCGAGTAATGTTCTTTTTTTGGGGGGGCCTGACGATGGCAACCAAAATGTGCGACTAGGTATTATATGATTCCCAAATACAAAATTTCAATATTTTACCGCGAACCGTTTTTGAGTTATTCAACGAACGTATGTATATCCGTGAAACAAAAAAAATTGTCAAAATGGATTCGGTAATGAACAAAGTGGAAATTCCCATTGAAATTTGAAAACTGAATTTTTTCGAGATTACTTCCTTTAGTTCGCACAAGGAAGTAATAATATAAATCGAAACAAATCTATATGTATTTTGAGTTTGGGAAATCTTCTAGCAGTGGTGCATGAAACAAAGGAACTAAAGATGCATGGAACAAAAAAGGTTGAGATCCACTCTTATAATAGGTATACTACTATACTACAGTAGTATAGTATATGAATTTAGTACGTATCTATAGTATAGTACTGCAACAGTACATGCCTTTATAATAGGTACTATATACTTATAGTACGTATACTCGAGTTACGTACAAGTATCGAGAGTTATTGAGTTATATCGAATTACCTTGTAGAAAGGATCCAACTCTCTATTATCTAAATTCCACTGATTCACATGGGATCCGATCATAACTGCCTTCAAACCTAAATTCCCAACACTTCTCTTGAGTTCTTCGGTTGCCAACTCGGGACACTGCAGAGGGACTGTCGCCGCTCCCACAAACCTCCGAGGATGATCCTTCACTACGGATGCAAGATGGTCATTCAGAAATCGACTAAAGTCTAATGTATCCTGGGGTTTAGCCTAAAAATAAGAATTAAATATTTTAAAAAAGAATCTGATGTGGACACCACATTACTTCCTTGCACGCCTGTTAAATTCTACACATTTTTCGCTAAACTTATTTCCTCGAAATATCCTAACTTAATTAACCGATCCCTCGAGGCAAGTTGAAAATGACATCAAAAATTAAAAAATTTGAAATTAAATATCCCGGTCAGTTTTTGTCAAAACGAGGGTACAACTTCTTATATTTTAATTTTTTCATAACGAATATAAAATTTTCCCAACTAAAAGTATAAAAATTAATCCGAATGGGTTCGAGAAAGGTCAAAATGGATATTTTCATTAAAATATTGTACCCAAAATTTTTCACGATTGTAATACTTCCTTTAATTCGTACAAAGAAGTAAAAATGTATAAAATTAGGTATAGTAGCCGTTATAGTTAATAAAAATTCTAAAAATTGAAAAAGACATACCCAGTAACTGAACATGACCGGAACTGTGGACAATAGTTGCACGTTTACATCTAAAACAGAAAATTTCACGAATCAAAATCAAAGTAACTTTTAAGACGGAAAGGGAAAATGACGCTTAATTTACAATTCCAACTTTTACTGTTATAAGTATTCCTTGAACCTCGATTTAAAAAGATTAAAGATCTTTTAATAGCATCAGAAGTACTACGAGAGGTTATCGATCCAGAGCTCTGGATCCTTATACACCGGAAGTCATGATCTTCATTTCTATATCCGAAACATTTTTGTGTTTGTATCACTTTTCACATTTCGTACTTCAATGTGCAAATATTCGGGTGACGGACTATGTGTGTTCAAAATTTGGTGACTGTAGGTACCCCAATGCGAAGAATATGCATGCACACATAGACACAGATTAAATTCTTTTTTTATTTAAATAGCTGCTTAAAATAGTTATCATAAAAAAGAAAAAAAAATATGTTATGATTTTATTGAGTGTTCAGCTGGAGTAATTTCACAAAAATATTTAATATTTCTAATTCTCATTATTTAATTATATTTTTATTTAAATCTATCAAATTATAAAGTAGAAAAATAAATACTGCGTTGATTGCTTGACTTCCTAAAAAACAGTTTAAATTTGAACTTTAATTGTCTAACGATAAACTGGAATGACAACGGTGGCGCGTGAAAGAAAAAATTATTTTATTTTATTATAGTTAGTAAGAATATAACGAAGTACTGAAGCAGCGGAGTTTGTTGATTAAAATTGAAAGATCTTATGTCTTGCCGACTGGCATCTGGCCGGCGCGTCGGAGATAAAAATCTTTTATTTGGAGCAGTGTTGCCACTGCTTTGCTTCTAAGCCAGTCTTCTTGTTAATAAAAACTTTATTGAATTCGTACAAAATGGGAAACAAATGAGAAACCGATTTGAAATTTGAGTTTCGAGATGTTTTTATTTCTTTTGCCTACTTATTTAAAAAATTTTCACTTAATGTTTTTATTCAAGAACATTTTCATCTATACGTTTATTACGTTTAACTAATTTTAATCTTATCTCATGATAATCTTTTTTGCTGTATCTTTTCACGATTCCAAGGTGTTGAAAGATTCAAATTTTAATATTTTCTCTCATCGGATAAAAACTATTTTGAGTGGATCTGATTCAAAATCTGAATTAAATTTTGCCTACTCTATTATAAAGCATTGTAATAGTATTTAAGTGGTTATAGGTTCTTAAGCACGAATAGTTTAAAAAACAGCTGTTCTAAATTGCATAAAATATGAGAGAAAACAAAATCTGAAATAGTTCAGAACGAAATTAAAATTATATATTTAAAATTTAAAAACATAAAAAAGAACAAGCAGATCTGAAAGGATTCAGATTTTAACGCCGCATTCTAAAACATGTTAAGGTCTTTTTATGCTCTCGCTGAGCATCGCACATTACCAAGCTACTCTTAAATTCACTCCTGCTAACACTTTGTTAGCATCCTTTACTTTTTCCTTACGCCACATAAAATTCAGCAGCAAAACCAAGAAATATTTGAAATCATAATATGCTTAGAATTGCGATATAGTGTTAGTGGTTCTCAAACTTTTTTTTTTAATTCGCTATATTGAAAACTACCGCTAAGCGGCAAACCGCCTGAAGTGTTTAACATAAAACGTATATAATGACTTTAATGAATCCACGGACTGTCGCTTCATAAAAATATTTAATACTTCTAATTAGTCATCTTTTGCTTAAGTGTATTTTTATTTAAATCGATAAGATTAAAATGCAGAAAATGTATTTTTAATAATTACGTTGAAAGCTTTTAAATCGCTTGGTTTGCTACTCAGTAACAGAACGATTAAATTCGAAATTAAGTATATTACACTTTAATGTATGGCAACACGCTCGTACGTGGAGATAATAAGTATTCTGTTTGAGCCAGGAGCAACAAACTGTTTAGAAAGTTGTGGATTAAAGTTTAGAGATAAATAAATATTCCACATTTTCCGAAGGGTAACCGTTTGGCGTTTTGGAGACAGAAATGTTTTATTTCGAAAAATGTTGCTGATTCTGGCTTTCAAATCGCTAATGGTTAATCGAAAATTTGTTGTATGCGTACGAAATATGAAATCAAAAATCAATTCGAAATTCCTAATTCGAGCTTCGAGGTGTCCATGTTCTGGTGGAAACTTACGTGTATTAATTAACATTCCATGGCTCTAAGTGTCGTTGTTTTCCCACTATAAGTGAAACATACATAGTACATGCTATATACATACAGATTCTTCATGATTTAGTTTTTGTTTTAAATAATACATGGCGAACATTTGGCGGTAGCAATTTGAAAAGTGATTCGGGCACAAAAGCAATAAAAAACAAAAAGTGTGTTTCGAGACTAATAGCATTTCTGATGTTATCTAGAAGCTAAGTTAGTCTTCATTTCAGTTTTTCACATGCATATGCCGCCGAGACGGTATAATGGTTAGGGAAGCTGACTGCGATACCGAAGGGTCCGAATTAGAATCCCGGAGAATGCATGGGTGTAAATTGTCTATTCCCTCATAGGAGGCAAATGTTCATGAGAAAAAAAGGTTCGAATTCAGGAAATCCTTAGTAATTAATATGTTGTTCTAATTCGTTATGCATCTCCTGATACATCAAATGTTTATAAATCTATATAAAACAAATTAAGTTACCTAAAATTTAACAGAAATTATAACATTAAGCTGCATGACATATAATATTAAATAATGAAGAATCTGCACGTAACTGTACAAAAGAGAAAAAGGTAGAGTTCTATATCCCTCGTTTCTACTGGGCTGATTGACGAAATTTAACTCGTTTTTCATGTCACAAAAGCGCGACTTAGAATATATATTAGATTTGTATAAAGGATTGTTTTAACTTGGCATTTTGACACAAAATTGAACTTTTCTGAAATGAAATAACGATTTTTTTTTCTATATTTCGATATTCGACTCATGTTGTGCCAAGTTTTGTAAAAATTTTTAAAAATTTAGCTCCTTAGTGAATTTGGTATATATTTATAAATATCTCTTTTTTATTAACTTTATTTGATTCTTTTTTCGCTATTCGAAATGTAGGTTTAGTTCGAATAAAATTCGCAGATATTTCCGAATTTATTTTTAAAAATTTTTATTTTTTAGTAATTCTTATATATTTTTCGAAACGATTTTTGAATTTATAACCTATAAAATTTTTAGCATCGTCTTAAAGTAGATGTATATCTAGGCATACCTGCAAAAAAATTACTGTTTGCATTCAAAATTTCAAAAGATACACGTGAATTTAATATTGGTAAGTTTTTAAATTTGGCACATTTGTTATAAGCGATAATAACGCCATATGTGGTTTACGCACATTGTTACAATCTTCAATGAACTGCAACAGTTATTTTGAACCTTAAATTTCCAAGTAAATTTATTGAGGATTATTCACACATAATTCTTTATTATCATTTTTATTAAAACGTATAATAAATATTATTTCTTGATAAATAATGTATGAAAAGCTATTTTGTAATTTATAAGGAATATTAAAAGAACGCAGCTTTTTTTCTCTTTCATAAGCGTAAATTTTTACTTCCACCATATTATCATCTGCTATTTTTAGTCCAAAGGGATTTGAATCCCGAAGGACTATTAGTTTCGTTTTGGCATTTTACGTCGGATTCATAAATGTCGGTTCACTTTTCAAACTGTTGCCACAAAATGTTAGAGTCCTGCATTATATTTGAAGAAATTAAATAATGAAAAATCTGCATAAATGTATGTATATTTCTCGTATTGTGATAAAACAACGGTACATAGAGTCATCGAATTTTGAATAACGTAATCCTCCAACGAATATGAGCATGTGGAAGACCAAATTTGAAATTTGAAATTTGTTTTATGATCGATTTCCTATTTTTTAAAACTTTGACGAATTTTTGATTAACAATCTCAAGGATTTCAAAGCGAGCAATGGCAACGTTGTGCAGAAAAAACATTTTTATCTCCAGCGCGTGAGTCTCTGTATCGGAAATTCTAAAGATATGCTCGTTTTAAAACTATTTTGCGATATTGCTGTTGCACTGGATCTTATGGTTTAAGTGCGAGGAACATGATATTTAATAAAGAAAGGTAACACACAAAATGTTAAAAAACGCCCCTTTGGACGTAATTTAAAATCTGAAACATTTCAGATTTTTTTTTTTATTTAATTTAATTTTATATGAAACAAAATTTATTTTGAAGATTTCTAAATTAAGCATCATACTATACGCACTCAATATTTCTGAATATGTCATCAAAAATATTATAATAAAACATGCTGTGTTGTACTACAGAATCGTTTAACAGCGACGAATTTTACTAGAATAAAATATTTTTATCTTTTTTTTTTCTTATCTTCTTTATCTCTTTCATGACATTAAATGTATAACAAATTTGTTAAACAAACTGTTGTTTACATTTTGAAAGAGTCACTAATATTATCAAGGATCCTTTATTTCAAATCAAAATATACTTTTTGTACATTTCGGATTTAGAATAAACACATTTTTCGAAGTTGAATTGTGATTTGTCAAAGTCTGAATTCTAATCATTAATAATTAATAAAATTTTAACATTGTTATTATTTCTGTTACATTTTCTGTCATATTAGAGTTTAGCCTACCAACAGACGAGCGATAAAATTGCTGAACACTGTTAGTTTTGACCTGGGTTCGAATACAGCCAAACGGCTGGTGGTATGGCCGTTTTCGGAGTATTCCCCATGTGTAACGTATATACGAGCCAATTTACCCTAGAAAGTTCTCCACGAAGGCATCCCTTCCCTTAGGCAGATAGCCTTAGTATACTTTGCCATAACAAAAACTAAACCAAGCCAAAAACAAATTAGAATTTATTAGAAATTGTCTTGTAAAATAATATTAAAAAGTTGTCTTTGTCTGTGTACATATTGCTAAGTTTAACACTTACACTTCTATTTCTTTCGTCAACTCTGCCAAAACGTACAAACAAAGTGACTGTTTAAACAAAGTGAGTGTTTAAATAGTGAAGGGCAATCTTAAATTAAGAAATAGAGTACTGATAATTCAACTACTGGCATCGTATCTATCATATGCGTTCCGATTGGATAATTATAGTGTTTTTCGATGAGTTTCTGGTTTTCTTAGTTTGGAAATGTGCGTCTAAAAAATCGTTCATAAATTAGGCTGTTTGATTACATAAATATGTTCAGCACATGGAGAGGCTATCAGTTTAAGGGGAGTTGCACATGGAGAAAATCACGAAGGCCAATCATGCAACCATTTCGTTTAGTTGACGAAGGCATCCCTCCTCTTAGGCAGATAGCCCTCGAGGCTTTGCCATAATCACACACACACACACACACACACGTTTAGTTGAGCTGAACTCAGAAACAGTTTACTAGCATTCAGCAGTAGCTCGGCCACTGTTAGAATCATTTAAATTAGAAGCAAGTTACTAGTCTCTAATTTACTATTTGGCATTAATTTGAAATAGTTTTATATTCTCAGGCACAATAAACAAAGTTAACAAGTTAGGATTTAAACTACCAAGCCGTAGAGCAAATGAACGTTCAGTTACATATGATATTATTGAATTCACTTAGTGTTCTTAGAATCTAAGCTAAAGCTGGTACGATTATCTTCCTGCGTTACTCACCTGGAAAGATTAAACATGCGTTTAGATTAAGTGACATTAGGTTTATCTTACTGGCTGAGGTGTCAAAACGGTGCTGCAGTTTTAAATGTTAAGCTGAGGAGCAAATTAAGCAGACGATATTTAATCTTAACGTTGTTCAGTTGGAGACCGTTCTGCTTCACATAATGAATCTTCCTACTGATATCAATAACCACTTCGCTGAACCGCTCTGTCTTCAAAATAAGTATGTGTACTATCCCGCTTGTTCCTCAGATTTGTCGCCTTGAGAATGGTTTCCTTTCCTAAAAACTAAAGTTGTGTCTAAAAAAAAATAGCTTTCCACACGGAAGAGAGAATAGAAATACGACATCTACTCTTAAAGGCATGTCAAAAACAGCCATGCACAAGTTTTCTCTTTTCGTTATCTGTCGTGCTTGCATTAAGGCAGAAAACTGTATAAGCGTAAATTCTATAACCTATTTTTGAAAAAAACTTTAATTATTTAATTACCATTCAGTGAATATATACTAAAACTTCGATTACTTGAGCTTCCGTAAGTCTAAAATTTCGACGAAATAGTCGTCGGAATTAGGAATTCGAATGTAAGTCAAAGTGAATTTCGAAGTATGCATTTCGAAAATCGAACTAATTCAGTTCGAATTTTCAGTGTTTTTATTTTTGAGGGTGCAGGAGAGTTCCTTCCCTTTTGACTCATTGAAACCTGAATATATTTAGATTTATACTTTTTTTTTCCATAAAAGCGGAAATCGTATGCATGGTATACATATTTCACGATACAGAGTTTAAAATTTAAATTTTGTTTAAATTTTGAAAGATAATTTAAGCTTTAAGAGTTTGACAGTTTATGTTATATACAAGATTTTATTAACATAATTTTTTCAATTAATCTTCTTACAAAAAACGTTTTAAGTAGCTATTTTTCCGTCATAATATTACAGATTATGTAAAAAAATGCTCTTTAATAAGGAAATTATTGGTCTAAAATTATCAAAATAAATATGATTAGGTTGTTTGTATTTGATATAAGGATCGGGCCACTCGGTGGGATACACTAAAAGCTGCCTTCTGCTGACCATAAAAGTTTGTTTCCTTTTTTTGTTATTTGGTGAAAACATTCGAAGCCAAATATTAGTCCTTTGGTCTCTCTTTAAACTTTATTTACAGCTAAAATGTCTAAAAAATTAAAAGCAGTCTCTTTGAAGATGCAACTAAAATGTTAAAAGAATACAAAATGTATGGAAATGTAAAGGCTGAAAAGTTTATTAATTTTTAATTATTATTATTAATTATTACTTTATTAGTTATGAAATTGGTATTTTTTTAACTGGCGGGCGCTTTAACTTAATAGCCATTAGCCTTGCGCCACTACAAGAGCCGAAATGGAGCTCTTTCATTATGGAAGCACGTAATAGGTGGCCACATTGCCCGGACAGCTATAATCATGCCTTCTCAGGGATTCGAACCCGGGCCCATCGCTATGGCAGTCAGGGTCACTAATCACTATACCGTTTGGGCGGCGGGGGGGGGAGACTCAACTTCCTCTATGGTGAAATTCTTCTTCTATTCCAGATTCAGCATTTGAAAAATCTTAATATTCTTGTATCAAAACTGAAAACAAATGTAGAAACAAATTTAGAAGGAAAGCAGGAAATTAGAAGAAACAACAACAATTTGAAATCCAAATTTCAAAGAAGTTGCGGTTCCAAGGAGAGTAACCCGGAGGTCCAAGGAGAGTTACACCATATTTTGCTAACGTTTTTCGCGTAGTGCAGTGCGTCAAATATACCAGCAAGGGTTCTAGGAAAAAAGTCCACAGGAAAAAAGGCCACAGGAATAATGCTCACAGAAAAATGCTCACAGGTATAAATGCTCACAGGAAAAAAGCCCACACAGAAATATGCCCACATAGAAAAAAGCTCACATGGAAAAATGCTCAGTTAAGAAATATACTCACACGGAATAAAGCTCACGTAGAAGTATGTTCACATGGAAATAAGCCCACTGATAAATAATTCACATAGAAATATCCCTACATTAATGAATCAATAATTAATCGATTTGAACATCGTACACCTATTTTAATTTTCTAAAGAAAAATTATTTAAATGACCAAAACATCTATGGTATATATTGCAAAAACTTTATAACTTATGTGTAGATTCAGATGCTACATAAGATTAACAAATAGACCATTTTGAATTAAAAGGAGAGGAGAAAGGAAGTAAACATGAAACAGAATTATACAGTAAAACATTATTACAATTTTAATTGTTAAAAAAATAAAAAATAATAAATATAAGTTGCACATTTTTTAATATAAGCATTCAGAAGAATAACGAATGAGAATTTTGAATGATTATTTTATTTAAATTACTTAAAATATTTAATTTTATCATCGATTTCATCACATGATTCACGATTACCAAATGTAAATTTTTCATGTTTTCTTTATTTTTTTACTTCAGTACATCCTGTATTTACATTAGCTAATAACAAACGTTGAGAGGCTAAATCTTTTTTCAGTCCGTCAAATAAAAACCACATACTGATTATGTGATCCCAGTATGTGGTTTTTATTATTTTTTATTATGTGGCTACAATTAAATAATGAACTCAGTGCGCTATGAGAGCCTTCGCAACAATTTGTGGGTTTAGGAGATTTTTCGAAGACTGCTTCATAATGTTCAACTGAGTAGCATCATCAAAGTGCTTAAAAATGTTAATTTTATTTTTAAAATTTTAAATTTCTGCAGAGATTTTACAACTTTTTTGGCTCAAAACTTGAATAACTATCTTCAAACATAAATTTCTACAGATAAGCACCAAAAGTATGCAAAAATAGAGTAAAGAAACAAAAATTAATTATTAGCAGTTGCAGGAAAAAAAAATGTCGTACAGGGGCAGTGGTATAAAATATTACAGTACATGCAAAATTTTACTACAGTTTTCATGCTTTTGTTTATCGCCCCTGAAAAGGTTAATGTGAGCATTTGTTCAAATCTTAATAGGATTTTCACTTTATATGTAGAATAATTTCCTTCTGCAGAAAAAAAACTATATCTCATGACTTTCCAAATGCACTAAAACCATTTTACTTGAAAACTCTGGAATTCAGACTTATGAATTTCGAATACAAAGTATTCGAAACTAAGTCTGAATTCGTGAATGACAAAAGCCCAGATTACCAGTTTTCCTTGAATGTATTGTTATATTTACTCATTTTGCAGAGCTTTGCAGAAATTTTACAGAGCGTTTTAATACTTCATTCAAGGATATTGATGGGAATTTTTCGTGTGTTTTTTGTATGCAATTCAGATACTCATTAGATGAGAGCCATTTTGCTCTAATTATTTACATTTACCATATTTTTCTACGATATTTAATGGCAACATCTTACTTGTTTCATCCATCTCTCGAATTCTGTCTTCAGGACACCAGCAGTTGCTTTCAATGGCTCGGAAGAATGTTCCATCGTCTTTTAGAAGTCGCGCCTTCTTTGGGTCTCCTGAACGCTCCATTCGAAGCCATCCTCCGTAACCGTAACGCTGAAGAAAGGTTTTTAAATTAATATAAAATGGATTGGCGGGGATATTTGAGACAGTTATTATGATATTTAAGATGAAGGCAAAGTACGCGAGCGCTATTGATTTATGATTACAGGAAAAATATTTTTAAATGGCAATTTAGAAGCTTTAGTTTTAGAATCTAACATCACAGAATTTCAAAAGGTTAAAAATAAAATTTAATATAAATTAATTAATTAAAGTAATTAAAAAATTTTTAAATAATAAAATAAGTTTACATTTGACCTTTGTACGCAAATTTCAGTTTGTAATGTATTTGATGTTAATTAACCATTATTATGATTTAAGCCTTTACTATAAAGTCTTCTTTCCATAGTTCTCACAAGAATGCAAATTAGGTTTTACTGTATTTATGTTGAGGATTTTGAATGTTAGATTAGAGCTTCTAGCAGCCGGGTCTTGCTTTTACTTATTATTGACAGCTCTGACTAAGTCGTATTCCGACTTAATGTCTTGTTAGCTGATATTTTAAAATATAGCAGTTTTTAATTTCCAGCTTTTCGTAAATTTCCAGGAGTATAGATTTCCACTCTTCAGAATCCATCCATCGGGGTATGTTTGTGCTTAGAAAGAGCTCTTTTCTAGAGACCTGAGGCACAATAGTCCGTAGGTGAAACGTCAGGTACGTTGGAAAAGTATATGTGCAATACTATATCAGTCTTCACTTTTTAAAGAAATGCAGTTTTAATTTTCGAAATTTGACTTCTTGCTTTGTCTTGAAGTTTTACTCATTGGAAGTCATTGGGATAAAGAAACAAAATTTCTTCTGTAAATATAGGGCAAAACATTTTCTCTTAATTGTACAATTGTACATTGAGTTGACTTTTAACATTTTTTTTTTTGCATTGACCCCTTTTGTATACTCGTATTACATTACATTTTTCTATATATTATTTCCTTACAATTTTTCTGAATAAAACATGACCATAATACAAATGATTGCGCATGAATAATTTAAGATAATAATTACATTAAAAATCGAGCAGAAATTTCTGAAAAATTTTTTTTTATTATTTTTCCTATTACTATTTTTTTAATTTTACCACTATAAATAAGTTTTCAGAACTAAACTAAGAGAGTTAGTTATACAAAAGATCGATTTTAAATAATGTTATTTATGGCTGTGCTTAATGTACTGTTGTTTATTTTAACATTTGACATAAAATTGGTTGACGTGTACTCTCGTTCAAAAAATATTTAGCCTCTTTCTTGTTTTCCGTACTGAATTATTGACATGACTAAGGCCTTCCATTCCATAAATGCCAATTATTGTATAAAACTGTTATATATTAAAAAAGTAACAAAATTTGAAAGGTTTCAGTTTTTAAATTACGTCCAAAGGGGCGTTTTTTTAACGTTTTGTGTGTTACCTCTATTTATTAAATATCATGTTTTACATACTCAAACTATAAAATTCAGTTCAACAGCAATATCAAAAATTAATTTTAAAATGAGCATATCTTTAGAATTTCCAAAACAGAGTCTCGCACGCTGGAGATAATGTTTTTTTTTTTTTTTTTCGTATAGTGTTGCCCTTACTCGCTTTGAAATCGTTCACTTTTTTTGATCAAAAATTCGTTTAAATGTTACAAAATATGAAACCGATAATAAAACAAATTTCAAATTCAAATTAGAGCTTCTACATGCCCATATTCTATGGAAGATTACGTTATTCAAATTTTGATGGCTCTAGGTACCGTTGTTTTATCACTATGTGAGAAACATACATACATTTATGCAGATTTTTCATTATTTAATTTCTTTAAATATAAGACAGAGCGATAATATATCGTGGCAATGATTTGAAAAGTGATACAGCCTTTTAGAGTTTTTAACGCAAAATGCCAAACCGAAATTAATAGTCTTTCAGGGAAAATTGGTCCTTTGGACTAAAAAATATGTATTAATAATTTTTATGTATTTTTTCCTTTATTTTATGATTTTACGGCTTTATATCAGTTTTATATTTTGACAGCTTTATATTAATAAAAAATTATGAATTTTATGAATAACTTTCTTTTGTACTTAATTAAATCTTGATCATGCCGATTAATGGCTGATGCATATTCGGCTATCGATCCCTTGATCAACATTGACCCGCTTTAAAATTTCATCTTCCCCCATTGGATCATTACCGATCCTGTTGGCAACCTCTGTTCTAGAACTAATCACGCTATCACTTTAAATTAGAGCTTTTATTACAAATAAAACGTCATGCATGAAAACTGTAAAAGAATTCATTGAGATAAATAGCCTTTATAAGCAATAAATAATGAGCCAACCATAATTATTTCAATTAAATTAAGCAGTGTGTTATGTAAATTTTTCAAAATATAAATTCGCAGATATCTTTGTTTTCAAATGAAGCTTTCGTTCAAAAGCCATTTTGCAGCTTAATCGAACAGCAATAAAAAAAATTTTAAATTACAAATTCGAAAAGGAATTTAACAATGATTTCCTTCGCTCGATTTCGTTGACAGTTTTCAGGCTTCTTATATCAAAACAAATATTCGATCTTTTCATATGAGGCTTCGATATTTCCTACCTGCTTCAAATCTGGCCATTCGGGTGGTAAAATATGGGTATGGAAATCCAGTCTGAACGCCATTTTTTCACATTCGAGACTTAGCTAGTTAGTCCAATCAAGATATTTGGCGAATACTCGAGAAAAGAAAAACGGTAAACAAATTCGTTTGACGTCGATAATGATTTTGATAATATAATTTTATCATTTGCAGAGAATCTCACTGAAAGATCAATTTCGCAACTGTTGGCAGAATATCACGATTACGCAGAATGTAAACAATGACCAAAGATGGCATAAAAAAATATTTTTCTTACATTATAAAAAGCATACAAATCAACGTGAAGAAATAAGCAGCAGAAAAGAAAAGTATTGAGCGCTACACGTCGCGCTCTCCCCCTTTTTTTTAAATAATGAAGATATATATGTAAAATTGATAAATTTATATATGTATATATCTATATATTTAAAAGTTTTGATAAAAAATAAAATAAAAATGAGAAAATTCCTGCACTTGAACTGCAAAGGATTGAATTTAAGAAATTATTAGCATTTTTCAAGATTTTTTTTTAAAAGATTATCCTACGCTAGATAAAAAATTGCATAGGGAATTAAAAGTGCTACTGTTATACAAAAAATAATCTTAATTGAAACACAAAATTTATGCAAAAACCAACACTCATAAAATGCGACAATACCCTAGAAAAACTGTACATCAAGCATTCGAAAACGTTATTTTAATACTCATATAAGAAAAACGCTTGAAATAGTCCTGAAAACAATATCTTTTAGCAAATTATAAGATATTTTAAAATACTTAATTTGCTAGTAGCGGAAGAATTTTGCTTAAAAAGAGAAATTTATCTGAAAAAGTTTTACATTCTTTTTCACTCAGGAATCATTCGTATTCTAAGCTGTTTTCGTATACGTTTCGTGTTATTTAAGGTTTTTGAACAATTACTTAGTAGCGGTACGGATCACAAAATGACAGGAAGAACGAAACCTGTATTCGGCACTAATTAATTGTTCAGGTTTAATGTTTTAAATATTTGCTTCTTGGAAGGTTATGTTTGAAGCATTAAACAAAGGCTAATTAACAGTTTTTATTTTTATTTTATTTTTGACACTTTAATTTTTTTTCCATTTCCCTTTTTAGAATCAAATTTGCCAAGTGTTTTATTGCTTTAATAACTTAAATCTTGCTTTAATAATGGCTTTAAAATGAAAGATTTGTTTGAAAAAAAGAAATTTGTTAGATTATATTTTGATAAGCGTATGACACTGTTAGACGCGTTAATATTTGACATTATTTAATAATATAAATAATGTCAAATATTAACGCATTCTCTCACTCACGAATGCCCAGTAGCACTTTTAAATCCCTATAGAATTTCTTCCTAGGGTAGGATAATCTTTATATATATATATATATATATATATAATATTCTTAAGAAATTTAACAATTTCTTATATAGAGAGAGAGAGCCGGGTAAAGGGCCCGGCTTAGAAGCCTTTAACCCGGTCTTTAATTTCACAGTCGTTGGTCATGATTTGGTAGTCATGACTTTCATTTTTTTAAAAAAATTAACTAAAAAATTAAATTAAAAAAAATAATAAAAAAATGAAATGCAACTTTTAATGCAATCTCCCGGCTCCTATACTTATGTTTAGGAAAGTTGTATACTCGTTATGAAAAAATAAAATTATAAGAAGTTTGACTCCCTTACGACAAAAATTGACCTTGATATTTAATTTCAAAATTTACAGTTTTTGATGTCCTTTTCAACTTACCTTCAGGAAACGATTAATAAAGTTAGAATGATTCGAGGAATTAAGTTTAAATGAAGTGGGCGAAAATATGTATAATTTAATAAGCCATACAAGGAAGTCATGTTTTATCCACATTAGATTATTTTAATTACCTGCTTGCCAACCAACCTCCTAAAATGTTATAAAAAAATTAATACTGATTTTTTTGTGTCCGACTAATAGGATTTCATGAAAATATTTAATATACCTAATTAGACATCTCATGATTTACATGCATTCTTATTTAAATCAATCAGATTAAAAAAAAAAAAAAAAAAAGTTCTTTAAAGGCGCGTTTATTGCTTTTCAATCGCTTCGTTTCCTAACCAATAACAGATAGATTAAATCTGAAAGGTAAAGAACTTACCCTTTATTAACAGCAAAATGCTGAAGCGTGGGAGATAAAGGTATTGTCTGTCAAGGTGTGGCAACACATTGCTTTTAAACAGCCAGATTTGGTGATTGAAACCGAAAGATAAATGTCTTATGTTGATGTTGAATGGCAATAGTCTGGCGCGTCGGAGATAAAAATGTTTCATTTAGATCACTGTTGCCACTACTTGCCTTCAAATCGCTATATTTATTGATAAAATATTCATTACATTCGTGCAAAATACGAAAAAATGAATTCGAAACGTTCCAAACCAGCTTTTTCTTAGAAAGTCCTCCACGAAGGTATTTCCCCATAAGCAGATAACCCTTGCGTGCTTTGCCATGATCAAATAAACCAAACCAACTAATAAAATAAAGATTTTACAGTTTAAAATAAAATTTAAAAAGAATACGTATATGAACAGTTGGCAATCTGTATATTATTACGCAATTTTATTATAATATTTTGTCCTGACTTCAGAGAATGTGCAGGTGGATACAATAATATGCGGAGTTAGAAAAGTCTTATTCTATACTGTACTAGTGATAGGAATCTTAATAACATTTATTGGAAACGAAAAGTATCAGGACGTTATTGAGAAATGAATGTTTTAAAACGGCTTACGTTTTTTCAACGATTTGCTGCAAGGGATATTTTTAAAAAGGCTGTTTTTAATAAAAAATAATCAAATTAACTAAGGTTATTTTAAATAAAGTTTAATAAGATTATTTTTAATAAAGATTTTCGTGAGTACAGCTAGAGTATTTTCTCTGGTTTAGCTAATAAATAACAATTACAGAGATGCAAATCTGCGTTTATTGCCTTTAAATCGTTTAGTTTGTTTGTCAATAAAATTCAAACTCAATTTGAAAAAACAGTTACATAATTTAAGCACTGCCGAATGGTAACCGCCCTGTCCCGAGAAGGATAAAAGTATTTTATTTCGGACATGGTCTATAGATTTCTTTTAAATCGCAGAGTTTGTTGATTAAATTGGAATCACAAATATCGTACGCTTTGTCGATTCTAGTAACGCACGTCTTTTAAATTCCTGAGTTTAATAAGCAAAATTTGAGTTTACTCAACATAAAATAAAGAAAAACTGAATTCGAAATTTTAATTTCGGGCTTCGAGGTGCACATGATCGGTGTATACATACGCACAACTGTCATTATTTAATAACAGAGATAAAGAATTTATCGTTATAATTTCAAGAAAAAATTACGAGCGATATACTTCGTGAATGGGCAACAGTCTGCAGCCTTTCACGATCTGGAAGCTGATTTTATTTGCAGACTGAAAGCAGTGTTGCTTTTTTGTGGTACAGTCAAGCCCCCATTTAGCGAATCCAGTATTTAACAAACCGCCGGATATAAAGAACGAATTTTTGATCACTTTCAATTTTCTTCTATACTTAATGTTACACTGCCGATCATTAAAATTGTAACACCATGAAAGAAAGCAAATCTAAAAAAGGTATTTATTGCACGTAAACAGTATGGCATGAAGACAAAACGATTAAATTTCTAAGCATTGGGGAGGTTTACAGTGGTGCGAAATTAGTAGAAACAACTGCCACCATTGGCAGCTAAAACGGCCCTTACCCCATTAGGCATGGAGTCGAACTGGGCTTGGATGACAGAAATGGGCAACTCATTCCATGCTGCTTCAAGTCTATGCCACACTTCATCAACCGTATTAGCTGGAGAGGAATGGCGGACTAGTCTCTCAGCAAGCTATGACGAGATGTTTCAATGGGTGACAGATCTGGAGAAGTGCAGGCCTGGGCAGCAATCGAATATCCTGTGTATCGAGGAAAGTCAGAATACGACATGCAACATGTGGTCTTGTATTATCTTGTTGAAACATGGCGTTTGGAGGCCTCAAAGATAGGGCACAACCACTGGACTTAGGATGTCAGAAATGCAGCGATCTGCTTTCAAATTACCGTCGATCCGAACTAGAGATGTGCGTGTCGCGTACCCAATGGCTGCCCAAACCATCACACCAGGTGCACGGCCTCTATGCCGATATTAAATGCAAGCAGGCGACACTCCAGACACGTATAGGGCCATCAGAATACTGCAGGTAAAGCCGGGAGTCAGTTGAAAAGGCAACAGTGTGCAGCTCTGACCCAGCTTTGTCGTTTGGCGCACCAGAGTCGCCGTCTTTCTCTATGCTACATTGTTAAAGGAAACCGAAGTAATGGTCTCCCTGCTGATAGTCCACGCTGCTGCAAACGTCGACGCACCTTACAAGCTGATACTTGGCGTGCTGCAAACATGCCCATTTCCTGACTAATGATGTGTTATCCTGTGTGCGCATGTGTGCGATGTTATCGTCACGCAATGATTTGTATGTGCTTTATTTTTACCACGATATTTTTGATGACAATGTTTTTAAACTACGATGTTTTTGAACCGCTTTATTTCTGATGACAATATTTTGTACCACGATGTTTTAGAACTGCGACGTTTTCTCTCCCTCACTTTTTTTTTTTTTACCACGACGTTTTCGCCTTGCGTTGTTTTCTTCGCGACGTTTTCGTCCGCGATGCCTTCGGCAGTAACCGTAGTCTCCAGGTATTTAATTTAATGCTACGAGAGAACTACGCCAAAATGAGTAATTTATCCAACTACAGGACACTTTGCTGGTTAAGCATTCATTGAGAAAGGCCGTCATTAGTGAGACAGTTGCCCAAAGGGCACCAAAAGCGGCGACTTCTTTTTACACCCGCGAAAATGAGAAAGTTGCGTTCCAGTTTTGGTGGAGAAAATCCCGGACGTCTCCTACCTTTCTTCTGCCACCAAAGAATGATTGATCAATTACGGCAAAGAATTTGAATTTGTCCGTTGATTCCATTCAGGTTCTTTTATCGAGCTGTCAGACAGTGATGTTTTGATTATGAAAGTGATTCATATTTAAGAAAACAGAAATATTTTATCCTCATCGGCTTGTTTACATCGCGTAAA